TCCAGGCAACACTCCAGAAGGTCCTCCCTAGTGCTCTTCACTCTGTTTTCTCGGTGAACTCCACAGCTTCAGGTACTTCTCCGACTTAGCATTTAGACTCTGCCGCATATAATCATATGTCTAGTCTTCGCGATCGTTTTCTTTGTCTTCGTCCAAATGCATCTCTTGAGTTGCAGGTAGCTAATGGTGCTAACCTTCCGGTTAATGCGATTGGTACTATCTAGCAGTCTCATATCAGTTTGTCGGATACTCTCTATGTTCTGGGATTAGTCCCTAATCTTGTCTCCGTGGGGCAGTTAACTGATCAAGGATGTCGTGTCATTTTTTATTCGGGTGGCTGTATGGTGCAGGATCAGAGAACCGGGAAGATAGTGGGTAATGAGCGAAAGTCAGGCCAGACGTTTCACTTGGATTCCCTACAGAGCTGCAGTCGGTGGGGATTGCTTGAAGAAGGCTGGTGCTAGTTCTTTTTTGGATAATCGTTTAAGTACTGCCGATTTGGATTTGGATGTGTATTTTGTTACTCCTTCGGATTGGGAATTGTGGCATTGCCGTTTGGGTCATCCCAATACTGCTCGTTTACAGACTATGTTTAGAAATAAATTGCTTCTTGGACACCTTCGTAGTAGTTCTCTTCCTTCTTCTCCCTGTGTTAGTTGTATCGAGGCAAAAATTATTCAGACTTCTTTTACCTCGAATGAGACTGTGTATTCCGATTCCTTTGACTTGGTCCATACTAATCTGTGGGGACCCTCACCGGTGAACTCATGGCTTGGGTTCAAGTATTTTGCTCTCTTTATTGATCATGCTGCAAGATACAGTTGGGTTTTCTTTCTCAAACAGAAATCTGAGTTGCGTTCTATTGCTCTTGAGGTTGTTCAAATGGTTCGCACCCAATTTGGCAAAACAGTCAAGATAGTACGTTCTGATCCAGGGGGATTTCAATTCTCACCCTCTCTTGCAGTTCTATAGGGAGAACGGTATTATATCACAACAGCCTTGTCCATGTATATCACAACAAAATGGGTTGGTCGAGCGAAAATATCGTCATGTACTTGATTTAACTCAAGCTCTCCTTATACACTCTAACGTACCGCTGAGTTTCAGGGTTGAGGCCGTTCAAACTGTCATTTATTTGATCAATCGACAGGTTATCTCAGTGCTTGGTCAACTATCTCCTTACTCCAGCCTGTTCGGGAAGCATCCAAATTATCATTGGTTGAAGGTCTTCAGTTGCACCTGTTACGTTCTACTTCTGAAAAAGGAACACCATAAACTCGCACCTAAGGTAGCCAAATGTGTATTTGTTGGGTACAGTGAGCGATCCAAGGGATATTTTTGCTCTGATATTCTTTCTCGACGTATGCGGCTCTCATGCAACATTGTGTTTCTTGAACATGTTCTCCATTATCGAGACTCGACTGTCACGGATGCTAATGCCTTTGATTTTCTTAACTCCTTGCCTCTGGGTACATTATTAGAATTGTCAAGTTCGTTTCCTTCCCCTATATCTCCTGATCACGTGGACAATATGCAGCCAAACCCTTCTTCTTTGTCTGGTAATAGTGGTGATGATAGTAGTATTGGTATTTCTTCTGCGAACTCCATGTCCTCGCATTCTTCCACGTCATCTTCCTCGAGTTCTTCATCTTCTGGACGTTTGAGTGGGGCTGCCCCCATTGTGGAACGTCGCCCGTCCTCTCGGGTCAACTTCGGCAAGCCTCCGTCCCGGCATCATGACTTTGTTGCCTTCTCTGCTGAAACTTCTTCGATACCCATTCCATCCTCATATCTCCAAGAAAGCAAGGACGACAGGTGGAATGCGGCAATGAATGAGGAGATGGCAGCTCTTGAGGCGCATCACACATGGGATGTTGTTCCCCCGACCAACTCATCAGACGGTGGTTGGGAGTCGTTGGGTCTATAATGTGAAACTTCATGCTGATGGCTCTCTTGAATGGTTCAAGGCGCGGGTTGTAGCACATGGTTTTCGACAGGTGTTTGGGATTGATTATGATGAGACCTTCGCCCCTGTGGCGAAGATGCAGACTGTACGTACTATCCTAGCTGTTGCAGCTCTCCGAAACTGGCCTTTAACTCAATTGGAAGTCAAGAACGCGTTTCTCCATGACGATTTAAAGGAAACGATATATATGGAACTTCCTCCTCACTACAATAATGGGGATCGTTCTATGGTTTGTAAGCTCAATAGCTCTCTCTATGGCTTGAAACAGGCACCTCGTGCATGGTTTGAAAATATTCATCACACTATTGTTCAGGCTGGTTTTGATCAAAGTGAAAACGACCTGTCTCTATTCTTGCATCGCACAGTTCATGGGTTAGTGGTTCTCCTTATATATGTGGACGACATGATAGTCACAGAAAGTGATCAAGACGGCATTCGTGAGCTAACTCAAGTCTTACATCGCGCGTTTAAGCTGAAGGAGCTAGGCGATTTATCATACTTCCTTGGTTTGGAGATACAGCGTTCTGCACAGGGTCTGTTTGTGTGTCAACACAAATATATATTGGACTTACTGGAAGAGGCTCAATTCGCAGACTGTAATCCGGCGTCCACTCCTATGGAGCATCACTTGAAGTTATCGAGTTTGAGTGGCATTCCTTTATCCTCTTCTGATGGTACACGCTATAGAAGTATTGTTGGGAGCTTGGTGTATTTGACATCGACTCGTCCTGATTTTTCGATGCAGTTCAAATAGTTAGTCAATTTATGTCATCTCCCCGGACTCTACATATGGACGCAGTCACCCGGATACTTCGCTACCTAAAAGGGACCTCTCAAGTTGGGTTGTGTTTTCCTTCTACTGTTTCTCCTTCTCTGACTCTTTTGCGGATGCTGATTATGCAGGGTGTCAGGATACTCGTCGGTCCACTTCTGGATGGTGCGTCATGATGGGTTCGTCTATTATCTCCTGGCGGTGTAAGAAGCAGGATTGCGTTGCCAAGTCTTCTACTAAAGCTGAATATCGTTCCATGTCCGATGTCAGCTCTGAACTTGTTTAGTTACATATGTTGCTTTCCGAGTTACAGCTCTGTGTCCGGTTCCTGCTTGTTTGTTCGCAGACAATATCAGTGCTATTCAGATTGCTATGAATCCTGTACTTCATGAGCGTACCAAGCACATTGAAGTACACGTCCACTACATTCGTCAGCTAGTCTCCGACGGGTGGCTTCAATTACAGTATCTTACTACCGACGAGCAATCGCCTGATCTCCTTACGAAGGCCGTTTCTACAAGTTCGCATTGGTTTCTTTCACACAATCTGATGTTGCGTCAAGCACCATCAGTTTGAGGGGGGTATTGAACTGTACTTTGTATATATAAATAACGTCGGGGATCAACTTGTATATAGATTATATTGTGAGAACTGGACTGGCATTTTTGGATGTGCATGCCTTGTGGTTAAGGCGTGTGCATGGCGGCTATATATCCCTTGATTAGGGTTTATAGTTGGGAGTTGAATACACAAAACACCAATTAACCACCGTGGAGTAAAGTTTGTCTAAGAGGCCGAACCACGTTAAATCTCGTGTCGTTCTATCTATTTTCTTATTCGAGTTTGATTGTTTAACAGACCTCCCACCGCTACTCTCATCGAAGCTCGCCAAACCAGTGTACCTTCTTATTCGACCTGTTCCGTGACCTTTTTTCTTCACTCTCTCGCTCCATATATTTTTTCCTCTAAATTTCTTCCATTAAACCAGCACTCCTATTCTAAGGAAGAAAACATGGTTATCAAGGAAGAAACATACCAAATACCCGAGAAATCTAACAGTTGACAATTGATTTTTTTTTATCCAGTAAGTAGTGGACCTTGAATTCTTTCATCCCTGTTATAAGGAATATAGTGCTTCTGGTGGACTTTTAAACAGGGTGGTTTCAGTTGTAAGTTCCAATCCAAAGTAAAATACAATGCATATTTGATTAATCTCACCAGAGGCTATGTTAGCTATGGTTCTCCTTCTCGATCTCTTCCATTTAACCCCATTAAAATTCTGCATTTTCTGGAGAAATAATCAACTTCGCTTGATACAAGTTCTTAAAAATAAATCTTTTCGAGATTTCCACGACCAAGAACATCAACCTGCAACCGCCACTGCTAGGAGCTATTCCCAGACCATCTGGCCAGTATTACCGGATCTCTTTTGCCGGTGATCGGAATTCCCAATAAATTAATTTGGCTCTCTCCTTCTAGATGGGTAAACCGATGATAAAAAGTCCAATAAAATTGGATACATGGTAACCGAGAAATAAGGGTTTCAATTAATTTTATATATGGAATACTTAAATGATGGGTAAAAATTAATGTGGGAAAGTGTACGAAATAGGTAATCAATGATTATAGGTGTAATTTATAATTAGAATATTTATAAAATGATTAAGTTATTATTATTAATTAATTAATAAGTGTGAATACATGTGTACGTTAGCTTTTTCCATATATATAGTAGAAGGCACCATATATATATATATATAGTGGCGTATTCGGCGCAATCACTTTTTTGGGTACACTCAGCGCACCCGTCTCATAATCATCATTCTGAGCATGCGATTCATGTCAAAATGGTATCAATTGTTGCTTATGATATTATGAACAATAACCCCATGAATTTAAAAAAAAAATCATTTAAGATTTACTTTAATTTGAAGGATTTAGTATTTAGGGGTTTAGGGTTAGGGTTTAGGTTTACAGTTTGGGATTTTGCATTGGGATTCAAAATTGAAGGTTAAGGGGTTAGGGTAATAGATTGATTTGTTATGATTCTATGTCATATCATCATGTTAGATTGAGAGTACTAATTAAAGTTTAAAATTTGATGTATTATGGACACTTTTAGAAATGAGTGCACCCAAAAAAATGAGTGCACCGAAGTAGCCACCATATATATATTAAGGCTACCCAATTGTAGCTTATCATATGATCAACTACTCAATCAAACCTCAACATTTTCCTTGTCGAGCCTAACCAATGCAAGCCCTAACTTCCCCAGCTCACCTTCTCCCTTCCTAAACCCCACGTTTGAACCACTTCCCCCAGCTGGAGCCGATGGGCCTTAACGATGTCGGTCCAGTACCGCGCCAACACGTACATGTAGCTCGTCCTCGCGTTTGGCTTGTTCATCCCCCATAGCTTGAACACAATCTTCCCTTCTCCCGGTTCAGGGTCCACCAGCTTCAGCTCCATTGACCAAACATGTAGCTTCAACTTCTTCTTCTGATCTTCCCTTGTATCGTCAAACACACATTACGTTTCCTCTTGCTCGGCGGTGTTTTTTATTCTTGACAGTAATCTTGATCATCATCATGTCGTCCTAGGGTTCTTGTTGCCATTGTTGTTCTTTCTGCAGGGACGATGGATCTTTTCAGCTCACTCTCTTTCACGAGCCTTTGGTATTTTTGTTGGCGGTGAAGCTTCTCCAAGGCGACTTGAGCGATCGCGAGGAGCTAGCTAGGGGTGGAAGTTTGGGTTGTGGGTTGTGGATAACCCACAAACCGCTGCAACTCGCATCCATTGTGGGTAATCATACCCATAAGTTGTGGGTAGTGTGTTGGATGTGGGTAGTAAAATAATAACTTTAGTGGTTAGTGGTTACCTACTATCCACCGCGGTTAACCCACAAAATCCACAATAACCACACTAATTATATTTATTTACTAATAATACTTAATAATATAATAGTATGTGCAAAGTGGGAGGCAAAACACTAAAGTATCCACATAATCAAATACGCATATTAGTAGTTTTAAGTGAGAATTTTTATAATTTATAAAACACTTTAATTGAGAGAGTGGAAAATAATCGACTCATTAAAAGTTGACCCCTTTAGTAACTTTTATCTGTATGTTTTTTATTTTGTGTGAAAGAAAATACAAGATCATATCTGAAATCACAACTTCATGACAGAAAAGTTGAATATCAAACTCAAAAAGGAAAAATCTCCACTTTGAGTAAGATCGATATACAAAATTATATATCCACAAAAGACACAATTGTATATCACTATAGTCTTGCTACTAACAACAAATACGTTGGTGGCGACCTCAACTTCATACTTGCAAATATGGATTTTTGCATGTACCCCCACCAACCCGCAGTGGGTCATGGTTACCCACTAACCACTACGATGCAGGTTGTGGGTTGCATAATTATAAATTTGTGGGTATGGGTACCCACAAAATGTGGGGCCGGTAACCATAACCGCTCCAATTTTCACCCCTAGAGCTAGCCACTCGAAAGGAGTCAACTTCTTCGTGTTCGAGATGTCGAGCTTCTCCTTCACGTCGTTCATTGGTGAGCAACATGATCGCTAAGGATCGATGGAAGGTTATTACGATAATTCTTTCTTTCTTCTGTTATTGGTTCTCGATGAGTCAATGTTAATTGAAGCGAAGTGGAAGGGTGCATGTAGAGTTATTTAATTATTATTTATAGGGTTTGTATTGTGTGCTTTTGCGTAGGACCTTGTAATCCACCTATCAATTCCCGGCCAAGTACTGGGTAATCGCAAAAGCCCTTTGTCTCATTTAGGAGCCATGGTTCTTGTGATGGTGTCTAAGAAAATAGAATAGGAAGGAACGGGGACGAGACTTGAGAAGAGAAGAAGACTTGGTGGGTAGTTGACAGAAAGCTAGAAACAGAGCAGAGAGGGGAAGATAATGATAGAATTGGGGGGAGGGGGATATGAAGAATACGAAGCAGAGGGAAGAAGGTTTCTTAACAATATTATTCCATGATGCCTACAATTAACCTACTAAGAACTTAAATAAGGAACAAATCATAACCAATCCTCCTAATCCTACTCCACGTCCAACAGAGTGGAATCATGGGTCTAACAACTAGCAATCTTATTATTTTAAAATAAAAATTCCAAAACAAATAATGGCACATGACATTCCTTCCCTCTTACAGATGATTCTCGACCTCAAGAATCAAGTTTCTTCAAGCTCCATGTTAAACTCATGGTTTTCACCCATTTCGATAACTTCTAACATGAAAAGCTTCTTGCATTGATGCCCTGGATGGTAGGTTTAGTTGCAATTCAAGCGAAGTCCCTTCCTTCGCCGCTCATTCACCTCAACAGGGCCCAACTTCTTGATCGGCAGAGGCGTTCGGACCCCTTCGAATTGCCGCACATTGACAGTACAACTAGCGCCAGCAACCACCAACCCTCCTAATGACTTGACCTAAACTTCCTTTGCTTCATATACCTTGCAAGGCCAATTGCTGCTAATAATGTAAGAGGTTTGCAAGCCTGGACATCAACCCGTAGATGGTCTCGCAGTCCACTGATGAAGCAGCTAACTTGTTGAGTCGGAACCAAATTGCCTGCTTTTGTGTAAGACCTTGTAATCGATCTATCAATTCCCAGCCAAGGAATGGGTAACCGCAAAATCCCTTTGTCTCGTTTGGGAGCTATGGTTCTGGTGATGGTGTCTAAAAAAAATAGAATAGGAAGAGAAATAGAATAGGAAGGAAAGGGGGCGAGACTTGGGAAGAGAAGAAGAAGACTTAGTGGGTAGTGGACAGAAAGCTAGAAACATAGCAGAGAGGGGAAGATAATGATAGAATTGAGGGGAGATAGGAAGAATACGAAGCAGGGGGGAAGAAGGGAGAAAGGGAGATAATAGGCTCAAAGTGACACCCTACGACACAACACCTAACAATGGCCAAGTGTAACCAATGAAAGGGACTGCAGTATAGTGGCACAAGTAATAAATATCGAATCCACGGGTCTCTAGAGTTACTATTACTCAGCTTTAGTTCATTATCTAGCAAACTAGATTAATGATTGATTTACTAAACTACTCTACTAACTACTCTACTAATTACAAGTTGGGAACTCAATTGGGTATGATTCCCCCTAGCTCCTCAATTAGGTTCAAGTTGCAATTAACTTTGGTTGATATACTGTTGATTAAACAGCGGAAGATCCAAAATTAGCTTGGAATCTCTCAAACTGACCAAGCCTTCTCAGTCCAACTACCCGGTAGACGACTAGTCTTCACCAAGATAGAAAGCTGAGGCTATGAACATAGAACTCCACTACTGGAATGAATTCCAGTACAAAGCAGTGAATTGATTGACTCTCGCACAACCAATTCACCACTATCAATTAAGGAAGCTCTCTTAACCTAATCAGATTCTATCTATCATAGGTTAAAGCAGAAATCAAGAGAATTTGATCAAGATTCAATTGACTCAATAAATCATGTCTCAATCGATTATAATCAAACTATATAGCATCCAAAACTTCATACAAGAAAGATCCTAACACATGGAACTAGGGTTCCTCAAAACCGAAGTGAAGGGAAGTTACTCCATAGAGAAGAGAGAGACTGCAGAAATCTGATCTAAATCTTTAATCTCCATCTCCAAGCTTGATTCCCGAGCTCCAATGGCGAAGAAATCCTCCAAAATAGCTCTAAGAATGTTCCCAAGTCGCTCTCTCTCTCTAGGGTTCGTCCCTTGGGTGTTTTTGAACCAAAAACCCAGCTCTCCCCTTTCCTTTTGCTGGAAATCGGGTTTTAACCTGAAATTCCCGATAACACGGCCAGGCCAAACGGCCGTGTGACTTTTTGCAAACCGCGGCGTTTGGATCAGTGGCTCAGCCTTCCTACGCGTCCACGACCCACACGGCCGGGTGGAGTTCCAGGATGCCCGTGTGGGACTTACCGAGCCTTCACACGGCCACAAGGGGTCCTCTACATGGCCCGTGTGACTTTGCCCGTGCAATTTGATGCCACACGGCCAGGTCAAACGGCCGCGTGGGTTTTAGGCGTGCCCGTGTGGCTTGCTCAGCCTCTGTTCAATGTTTCGTTTCTTCCTCGTCCGGACTCCGAATCAGTCGCCGCTTGATCCCATACGCTCGTAGTCTTGTCCTCTTTCTTTTCATGACAAAATTCCACGATTATTTGTCCATAATATGAGGTAGAAGTCCATTATTCCTCAGGTCATGCTCGTGTTTCTTCTCCCGAATTGCCAAATGATCTCCGATTGTCTTGAAACTTGCGCCTATGCTTCAATTTACATGCTAGGACCTGAAATGTGATAAAGGAACACAACCTAGCGTAAAATAGTCCAAGAAAAAAAAATTCACGCCAAAATGATCAAGAAACGAGAGTGCAAACATGTGCAAATACAATGTTATCAAATTCCCCCACTCTTAACTGTTTGCTTGTCCCCAAGCAAACCTAACTCAAACCAATGCAGCTCTCCAGACCTCTATAGCAACAAACAACCCCGATCATCGGTATAAGATTTTCTATATCATGAAGCAGCTTACGAGGTCAACTGGTCTTCTAAGACGTCCCCTATCTCTCTCAATGCGAGTACTAGACTCAAGCCAGGATCATGAGAAGAAGTAGAAGTAAGACAGTCAGTTCATGGACAAAGGGACTCACAACATTCACAACCAAGGACTCGTTGTACCGGGGTGCTCTTTCACTTCATTTCACCGTTGGAACCCCTTTCTCTCACTTTCATTTACATTTTCTTTTTTTTTTCTTTCATTTGGTGGGGTTCAAATTGCAGTCTTTTGCACGGTCGACCCTTATTCGTCGAGCAAGAGCAATTTCTGTACACCTGGCGCTACTTCTTTTTAACTCCTTTTCCTCAACTCGTGTGGAGGGTCAATGAAATTAAGGGGGGTCGGAAGCTCTATCCGTGCCCTTAAAAACACATCCTCAAGTAGGCAAACCGTTCGACGGGTGGAAGTTTTACTTTTACTAGAGACAGCTTAGCTTCACCTTGTAGGAGTACCCCACTAAGGATCACTAAAATCTCCTCCAAAACCCGATTTTGGGCAATGAACGGTGCCACACACGTTGGGCTTACCCCATGTTTAAGATTTCGACACGGAGGACGAACTGCTTTTCATTTCTCACATGAGCACCTTATTCGATACACGAGTCCACAACATAATCCAAACAGAGTCCACATTACCACATGAATTCCACGGTCTTAGCTCCACTAATTCACAAAATCAACTGGCACAGCAGAGAGCTAGATAGGAAAAATCTTATACTTCAACATCCTCCATAGTGCTACACTACCTCCCTAGGTTGCACAGTACTACAGAGACTGTCAATTTAAAGCATACTGAGCAGGCAATTTGTAAGGAAACACGTACTTGGGGCAATTTGCAAGGAAACACATACTTGGAGCCCTCAAATTTAAAAAAATTT